AATATTTTAAGTTTGAAATAATTTCAAGCTTACAGAAAAATTGATGTAGTAGAAAGATTTCCCATGTGCTCTTTACTTAGATTCAAATACCATTAATATTTTGCAACATTTACTTTATATCTCTCTGTATATGTACATGTATTTTTTTCTCAACTATTTGAGAATAAGTTGTAGACTGTGCCTTATCACTAAATATTTCAGTATCTGTGAAAAAATATCTTCTGTGCCACAGTATAATTATTAAACTAGAAAATTTAACATTGATATACTATTATCAAATATGCAGTCTGTATTCAAATTTAATCAATTGTCCCAGCAGTGTTTTTTATAATTGCCCCCCCCCAATCTAGTTCCTATTGCATTTAGTTATTTTTCTTTAGTCTTTAATCTGGAACAATTCCTTGACCTTTCTTTGTTATCTGAGTGTGTATCTAATTTTTGCTTATGTATTTATATGATATAATACTATAGATCTTTTTACTTCTCTTAATTTTTTTCAGTGTTTTTAAGATCCACCCATATTTATATGTAGACATCTATCTTGTTTGCTGCTTCCAATTTCTGCTTAGTATCCCATAATATGCATCTGCCAACATTTACTTATCCATTCCCCAGTGACAGACACCTAGATTATCTTTAACAACTTGCTATCATAAATAACTCTGTCATGAACATCCTCATACATGTTCCCTTTGGGAATATTCCTGGGATACATATCCAAGAATAGAATTGTTGGGTCATAAAATATCTGCCTATTTAATTTGACGAAGACCTGCCGAATTGCTCTCCAGAACAGCTACCCTGACCACAGTACAACTGTTGGGCACTAAGGTCCCAGTTTCTCTAGACCGCTGTCAATACTTAGTTCTAGGTAACATTCTAATCTTTGCCAGTGTGATGGTTTTAATGTGAACTCTTGTTTATTCTTTCTGATCACTAATGAGTTTCACTTCTTTTACCAACTCTTCACTGAGATAGACTTTCCTCAGCAGGGAACCTATCTTTATTTTATTTTATTTTTTTATTTCAAGTTTTTATTTAAATTCTAGTTAGTTAATATATATGTTAAAATTGGTTTCAGGTGTAGAATTTAGTGATTCATCACTTATGTCTAACACCCAGTGCTCATCACTACAAGTGACCTCCTTAATACTCATCACCCATTTAGCCCATCCCCCGCCCACCTCCCTCCATCAACCCTCAGTTTGTTCTCTGTAGTTAAGAGTCTCTTACAGTTTTCTTCCCTCTCTCTTTCTCTTTTTCTCCCCCTTCCCCTGTGTTCATCTGTTTTATTTCTTAAATTCCATAAATGATGAAATCATATGGTATTTGCCTTTCTCTGACTGACTGAGGGAACTTATCTTTACATATATATATATTAAAGATATATATATAAAGATATAAATAAATATATATATAAAGATATATATATCTATAAAAATATATATATATATATGTCTTCTGCTTCAGCCTGATTAGCCTATTAGAGGGATCTTTTGAAGTTGATGTCATGAACAGCAGTTGTAAACTCCCATTTTACTTTGTGTCACTGTAAGTGAACTTCTTAACATTGGTCAGGTCATTTTTGGGGTTTCTTATATTTGAAATATAAGCTACAAAAGTATACATTCTTCTAGACAACTGAAACCTAAGTCCTTAGGATAACTATCTGCATTTGACACCTCAAGATTGTTAGTAGAAATAGAACTTGTAAGATTTCCTCCTTTATGTACTTGAATTCATGAATTTTTTTAAAAAAATTTTTATTCAAATATAGTTGACATACGATGTTACATTAGTTTCAGATGTACAACATAGTAATTTGACAAGTTTTTACATTATGCTCAAGCATAGCTACCATGTGACACCATACTGTATGAGTATATTCCCTATGCTGTGCCTTTTGTTCCCTTGATTTATTCATTCCATATCTGGAAGCCTGTATTTCCCACTCCCCTTCTCTTGTTTTGCCCATACCCCTACCCGTTTGGCAACCATCACTTTGTTCTTTGTATTTATAGGTCTGATTCTGCTTTTTGTTTGTTATTTATTTGGTTTTTTTTTAGATTCCACATATAAGTGAAATCATATGATGTGTTTGTCTTTCTTAGTCTGACTTATTTCACTTAGCGTAATATCCTCTAGGTCCACCCTCCATGTTGTCACAAATGACACAATCTCAACCTTTTAATTGCGAAGGATAGAATTTCTAGAGCACTGTAAATATTAGCATGTAAAAAAATAAAATTTTATATGCCTCTTTTAAATATATCAATTGAATCTAAATGCCATAGCATCTTGGTAACTTTCATAATGCATTTAAAAAATATGTGAACATGTTCTTGTTTTATAGTCAAAATTTACATCATTTTTTCCCTCTTTTAACTCAATATATTTAGTCTTTCTTTCCCAACCAGAATCTATCCTGATGTATATTATAGTATTTCTTAATATATTTTAAAATATATTTTTATACTTTAAAGTATTTTAATTATATCATATCTCTATCACAAAAATGTATATAAATTGCAATTACATTTATAAAATTTCCTGTAATAATAAAGGGAAAAATGGTCTCTGAATTATATATTCATTACATTACAATCATTGTTAGCCAATTATTGATCAGAGAATTGTGTGCATATTACATATTTTAATAAATAATAAAATCTAAAAATAAAATTTTATAGAAAATGTGCCTTTAGTTATATTTTTTCAATTGCTGTATTTGTTTCTCTTGCTAGAATGAGGCAGAATTTCAGTATCAATTCGACTCTTTGATTTTGTTTTTATAGATTTGAATGCTGAGAAAATTTGTTCACATAAATAGATGAAAAGAGTTTATTGTAGAAATATCACTCAGTTCGTTGAACTCCTTTTGAATTATTTGTCAGAACATAACCAATGGTGATCTAGCATCAGAAAAAAATTTTAACAACCCATTGACTGTTAATTTGATTCTATTCTCTTGTAAACTTGATGAAAACAAGAAACTACATGTTATTCAATCATTAAAATCATTCTCTTTCTCAACACTGATACAAAATGGTTCTGATTGTCTCTTCTTGAAACCCACATTTTTAGACCCCAAGGCAATGAACTATTGTAAAATTATAGATGAGTAAAGGATAAGTTTTTCTTTATAAGGTAGGAGAAATAAGATATAAAAAGGAGAAGCTTGACTTTTTTTTTTTTTTAGAAAAGAATACATAAGGAATTTGAAGATCTTGAAAATAATTTTCTTAAAACCATCTGTGTCTGCCTATACCTATCTTCATATGACTCAGGCATATGTATAAGGCTGCTGCCAAAAGGAAATAATTTTTTTAAAGCTATCATCATTTGAGAAGAATAATAGTAGTATTCACATGATAGCATCAGCCTTTGAGAGAAGTATAGAATATTGTTTATTGAATTATAAATTTACATTATGGAGCTTTCTATGTAACTCTGCAGGTGATTGTTTTGACAGAATTATATCTAATTCTATAAACTGTAAACTCCACCATCATGTTCCTAGAAGATCATTCAAAGAGACTGATTCCAGTGTGTTGATGTCAAATAAGAAGACTAAATACTGGTGTATTTAGTTTTTGGTTATTTTGGTGGGTTACTTGGTGTTTTAATTTAGGACTCTGGGTAAACACTCTTCTATATTTCTCTTTCTTTGCTTATGTTTGTTCCTCCATGTGAATTACTAGTTTCATCTCTTTGCCCCACATATGATATATCTTTATTATGGCTCTTTTATATTGTATTTATGAAGACCAATTCATTCAGCTTCCTAAACATATCTCAAATATAATCCCACCTCTCTATCCAGTGCCCTATTCAGACCTACATCATTTCTCAATTGGTAATGATCTTCCATCTGCTTTCCCTGCCTCCATTCTCTTCCCACTCCAATGTCTCCACCATAGAATTACTATAATGACCTGTCTAAAATACAGATCAATTCCATAGTCTCTTGCTCAGAAATCTTCAGTGTCTCTGCACTGCCAAAATTATTATTTACTTTCAATTATTGTAATTCTCTCTTCTCAAGTACCTTTCCAATTTTTTCTCCAACAACTGTCCTCATCTGTTTTATACTCTTGTCACACAAATTACTTATTTCCTTGAACACATATCATGGTATATTTATTAGGATGTCACAATGGACACATAACTTTATTTTTTCACTAATAATGAAAGCTTTTGGCTATCTGTGGAGAAAGACTAAAATTTATTCATATTCATATCATTTATAGAAAAAATTTATGATTTATCATTGAGATATGTTTTTATATCACACTGATAATAGCACTAAGCATGGCTATAGGACACAGGGGGAAAATGGCAAAGACAAGCTTTGAATAATGAAGGGAAACTGAGGTAAAGAAAAACTCTATAATCATAATCCTTAAATGTATCAAGATTTTTCAAAAGGTGTTTTGAAAACACACATACACATACAAACATAAATTGCATATGTATTGAATTCTCTTTTATCTATATTAATAAGGAAATGATTTTTGTATTTGACCTTTAACCTAGAACTCAATGGATTATAACTATATATTTATAATTCTCTTTTAAATTCAGCATAGTGGGGTAGCATGACCTCTAGGATGTTAAAAGGCAGGTTCTACTAACACTTACTAACTGTATGATCTTTAATAGGTCATTTATCTTTGCTAAATCTCAGTTTTTCATACCTATAAAGTGAGGATTAATATATATTCCTTATCTGTTCAAGGAAAGATTGTATCCTGTAAGTTAATATTTGAAAGTATATGATCAATTAAAGAGATTTAAAAATAAATTGTATTATAGAATTATTCTGTAGTCTCCTTAACTTTAATCCTGTATTTCCTTAGAGGATCTTGATAGAAGCTATATGTTGATAAGGCTAACAAATGATCAAATAAGGAAATAAAGGATATATTGGGGGTTCATTTGTTTTATTTTTTTTTATTTCTTTCTTTTATGTTTCTTATGTTTCTTCCTTGTTAAAACAGTTTTGGTATGAACCATGATGGAATTGGAAATTCTTGTGGGACGAAAGGTCATGAAGCAGCAAAACTTATGGCAGCTCACATTACTGCAAATACCAATCCTTTTTCCTGGTCTGCCTGCAGTCGAGACTATATCACCAGCTTTCTAGAGTAAGTAATCTCTGGAGAGTGATGATGAATTGCTCCAGAAGTAAGCCATTGGTAGAAGCCTAATATGTAGTGCTTCAAACTGCATAATGAGTAACTTTTATAGGGTGATATTTCAGGCTGTTCCCAAAATACTTTAATATATCATTGTGGCAAATTTTTTCCTTCATACTCAAGCAGAACTTGGTAGATTAAAGAATGTGGAGCAAGGCTATAAGTGGGGTTGATGATGTGAGTGTCAGAAATGTTCAATAAATGGGAAACAATGTCAGAAAGAATTTAGATTTACACAGCTTAATAGTGTGTAGGCCAAACTTAATTTCAGTGATTATATATTTCATTTTGTTGTTGAAAAAACTAAGTTTTTTTTACGAATGCTGAAGTATTTAATAGTAACAAACAACAACAACAAAAAACCAAACACCCAGCAAATGAAAATGAGAAAATGAAAATCTGTCTTTGAAAATTTATTATGTGACTCATCTTTTCTGTAGTTTGAGAACTTCTTTGCTGATCTTTTAATATAAATTCTAAGAGTCTGGTTACTTAAATGTGAAATAAATAAATTAGCTGAGGTGTAATTATGTTTATGAAAGCAGATATTCTTCCACATCTCACCTGCATAGGACTTTAGGATTGGACTTCAGAAACTTACAGACTTAGGTCTCACTTTCTAACTGTGTGACCATGGGCATGTTACTTGACCTTTCATAATCTTCAGTGACCTCACATGTTAAATACATACATCTTCAGGTTTTTATATATATATAATTATGTACAATGTTACAATGTATATGAAACACAGTAGACATTCATTAAGTGATAGATATTATTTTAAATAATATCGAGGCTTTAAACCTTATTGCTCTATCATTACTTTCAGCTGTTTTGTGCCAGTGTGTTTTTGGGGAGGAGAGAGTAAAATTTACTCTCTGAAAAAGTGAATCATAGAAAAAACACACGTGAACTACAGAAATTCTTTTTAAAAACTGTCTTTGTTCAAAGTTCACATTTATATGACAATGGTCTAAAACTTTCAAAATTCAGTTAGGTTATATAAGGTAATATTATTTATTAATGTTTGGCTCATATCTGCTAATAGCTGAAACTTCTGAAAACTTAAAATTATGTATTTTTTTAAAACCCCAAACAAGAGATTTTAAATTACCTAGCACAACGGTTTCATCAATCAGAGATCAAAAGATAAATGTTTAAAATGGCCTTTTTTGAATTAATGTAATAATTAAATAGAAGGAATTGGAAATTCATATCAGAAGGTAGTTCCTCAGAATAATTATGCCATAACCTAAAAATTTTTAATGTTAGTAATAGGTAATTAAAACACTGTACTTACCTCATGCCAAAACTGGGTTGAAAGCTATAAAGATAGACGACAGAAAATTTGTTTGACATCTTTTGGTGGTTTTTAACACAAAGCCCTAGCATTATCATTTTCCAAGATGTTTTTAATGAGATCATATTACCTAAATTTTAAACATTGTTGAAGATCTGCTTTCTCCAGAAATCAAGCCAAATCTGGAATTTCTCCTTTGACTTGGCTCATGTTTTTATAATGGAATCTTAGTGTCTATCACCAGAAAGACTAACTGTATAATATGCTCAGTATGCCTGTGCATTTTTGAAGTCTTCTCTCCTCATGTTTTTTTTTTTTTTTCCCAAGTACCAATTTTCTTTCTCCCCTATCCATTTATTTTGCCCAGCCTATTTGCTAGGACCATCTTTGTATACTTAATACAAGGACCAGTTTTGAGGTCTTGCCAGACCCTGCCTTGATGAAACTGTATTAAGGCAGTTAAAATACTTGGAAAGGGAATCCCTAAATTACTAATTACTGTTAAGAAACCACCACAGATTTGGTGAGAGATGTAAAATTATTACTGGTTGCAATAAAGTGTTCCATTGAATTAATTAAAAGAATTAATCCAAAAAGCACTATTTAAGCCTTATTGCCTCTTTGCATTTTGTATGTAAGCATGATTAGTGTTGACAGGGTTCTAAAGGGCTTATTTATCCTGTATTTTATAAAAATATTTCTGTTGTAAAAAAAAAATTTCTGTTGTGCATCTTCATGGGAATGCTCACACAGTAAAAGCCATTAGTAAAAGATAGATATGAAAGACAATAGGTAGAGATTTGGGGAAAGTTGGCTTTTTTCCCTTTTTTAATAATAAACTAAACAACTCTGATTATAATCTGACCAAGCAATAAGGTTTTTTAAACACAGCGCCCTTTAAAAAGGTCAGTTCACTGGAGCACAAAGACATAATAGTAACTTTCTTGATTGTCTTTGTTCCTTTTTATTAATACAGTTGGCTTAATTGCTTTAACAGCTATGTGTGATATTTTTAAAAATCCAGTGATATTTTGATCAGGGATTGAGGTTACATTTATGTTTTATAGTTGGCTCAAAAAGACTCATAACATTTTATTTTAGTTTCTCTTCTCAAGAAAAAGAAATCTTGAAAGATGAATTGTTTAGGAACTACAGCCCAGCCAACAAAATGCATACCTTTCTTTACTTAGTGACTGTATAGGCCCAAGATGATGGTGGATTCTAACAATGAGCTTTCTATGATTTACAGAGATTCACTATTCACTATGTTCAACTGAAAACAATTCCATGGCCTTTAAATGCCAATAGAGTAAAGTCTCTCGTGTCTTTCTGAAACACTAGGTGCTATTGATCAATCAGGAGATGGTGTTTTACCAACTCCCAATATTTTTTTTCAGATTTCTTAAACTCGGTGATTCAATAAGTGGTTCATGAATCGCCCAGAAGCCGTCCTGATTAAATAATAAAGAACCCATTTCCGTTAAAATGGACGTGTTATGCCAGCTTCTGATGTTTTCGACGACGGCTTTGCAGGTAGTGTCCTTCCTATCTGCCTGCGGGACTTATTTACTTATTTATTTAGAAAATAGAGAAAGATGAACCTGGTATTATGGCTCACACTCATTGATGACTATGGGCTAATTTACCAGGCAGTGGAAGGCAGCCAGAAGTAGTTTAGGCCAGTTTTTCATACATTTTCCACCACTTAGCGGTAGTACAGAGTAATTTCATATAGTTTTCAAAAATTCCGGAGCCTCTGTGAATCAACTTTTGCTCTATTTAAATTAAAGTCTGTTAAATTGTTTGAACTGTCAGAGATCCATAGCAAAATTTCCTACAGCTCCAAATTAAATACAGACTAGCCATTTTCACAGAAAGGATGGAAGCTGAATAAAAGAAAGGCAATATAATGGCAGAAGGTGAACTAGAAAGAAAGAGCTACAAGGAAAGTGATATAAGATGAACAGGATAACTGAGACACTCACATTTCCTCTATAGCAATTAACTTTGAAGGTCAAATTTAAATGGAAATCAATTCCATAGATGGGCCCTCTTTTTATATGGAGCCCAAGAAACAGCAAAACAGGTTTCTCCTCCTTCCATTTATCAGGCATGTTTTGGGGACTTTGCCCTAACTCATAAAAATCTTTGATAAGTCATAATTACATATGGAGAAGAGAGCATAGGGGAGTAAATCATTAGCAGTACGGTGTTTGTTGGAAGCCTCAAATTCAGTTCTCTTCAAGCATCCCAGTCATACAGAGGGCAAGAGAGAAAGGTCTGACTTAGAGGAACTCATTTTAGAAGGTAGTTATTGTTTGTTTTGTGAAGACTGATAAAGCAGTTTACAATAACCTAGTAGGTAAGACACTTGACTTGCCATAGATAATACAGTCTAATTCATTTTTGTTTAATTTAGGTGTATGAGCACAGTTTTGTGGTAGAAAATAGGAGTCGGCATTAAATATTAACTTTTTGTTGTTGTTGTTAAAAGACTGTTAAGATATGTATAGGGTTATATAGAAAGATTTATTTTTTAGATTGACCCACTGTGTTGTAGGCTGAAGGTCTATACTTTATAGTATAATTGTTTAAGTAAAAAATCTAAAACTGCAATTAGGAAAATGTGCTCATGTGTTCTGGAAACAAAGCCAAGGGTGCATATTTTACATAGGGATCTGTAAATTTTAGCTGAAGATTCAACTGTGGCTCATGTTCCCATTTTAAGGCTAATTTTCAAACTATGTAAATAAGACTTCTCTAAATTAGAGGTAGAATACATGAAATATGATTTTGCTATCATGCTGCAAAGATTTCTGGAAATGTAAATATACTTTGATTTACTAAGAATTTCATAATCTAGGAAAAAGCATGTTCTCAAGCTAATACACATTTTTCTGTCTTAGATGCATAAGCAAAAGTAGAGTCTATTATCATCTTTATTGCTGTAGATATTAATAAAGATTGGGCTTTTAGTAGTGAAATGTATGCTGCTACGGAAATAGAGTTCTACTTTTTATGTATACAGTTTTGCTCGGGACAAGTATATCACTACTTAATAACAATAAGTTATAATAGTATCTCATAGATGGAAACCAACAGTGCTCTTCATTTAATTTATTAGAGTGAGGTTTCTGTTTTCTGAGTGGAAAAATTTGCATATAACCAAAGTACAGACCATCTATGCTTAAAAGTGCCATTTGATGAGAAAAATCAAGAAGATTTATATATAACACCACTACTATTATTATTTTGATAAGAGTAGCATAAATAACACTAGACTCAGCATCAGAAGAATTGTATGGTTATATTAATTAGCTAGAACCCTAGATTTAATAACAATTACTCATATCTCCCTTTTGTTAAATAGATGCAATTACAAAATATAAGAAAATAACTCATCTAATAATGTTGAGAAAGGAAAAAATATTTGTACCAGGAGACCTGTACAAAAATGTTCATATCAACATACTTTGCAATTTCCAGAAATTAAGGATAATGCAAATGTTTGTTAATAGAAGAATGGATAAATAATTGTGCCGTAGTCTTAAATGGAATATTAACAATATTAATGAACAGACTACAGCTATACATATCAGCATGGATGTTTCTCACATTCATAATATTGAACCAAAGAATAAAGTGACAAAAGAAAACCTACACTATTACTCCTTTTATGTAGTCCAAAAATAGGCAGATCAATAATTGAGAGATGAATAATTACTAAAAAAAAGCATGGAAATAATTATATTAAAAGTCATAATATTAGTTACTTCTTCTGGAAAAAGTGAAGGGTATGATTAGGGTTGAGCTCTTGGGAATTTTCTAAGAGAAAAAAAACACTTCTAGGGTTAAATATACATCTCTCAGATCCATGTCCCCTACCTTCTACACTTATATCTGTGGTATTTCTTAATGGCAGTTGATGACTCAGAGGCATGGAAATATCCAGAATTATTATTTTCTAAGAGTTAATTAAAATAATTATGATCTAGAGATTTAACGTACTTGAAAGTATCAGGAAATTTTAGTAACATTATGCAAAAAATATTTGTGTCATTTAACTTCCAGTTAAGAATTAAAATATGAAAACTACCACACCCTCCAAATAGTTTAATCCAGGTTTTACTATACATATCAAATGTGATTAGTAGAAGAAAAATATATAGTACATTTTCTACCCAAAATGTAGAAACAATTTAAATCATATCCCTACCCTTGTTTCCCCAGAGCCGATAATAGGTAAGACATCTGACATGTAAGCATTAGTGGTTTGTACAATACTATAGCCAAACCCATTTCAAAAGGCCTTTTGTTGATGCTGTATTCCTAAATACACATCCATTTTAATAAAGTTCTATTTTTTTGTTTATATTTTATTTCATACAGTGTTTTATTCTTCTGTGAAAATATACAGAAAAGGAGAGTAAGGCTTATCTAGATATTTAATTCAACAACATTAATACAAAGCAGTAAATACTTAGAAAAAATTGAAACAAAAATCCACTTTTGGAATAAATCTTATCAGAAGACTTTATCCACAGGCTGCCACAGTACATGCCCTCTTTATTGTCTAGAGGCCCTTCCAATGGTTGTTGGATTGGGTATTTTTTAAAGAACATGAACCATGATTAGAACATCATCAATACCTGGGAACAAGAACTTTAGATGAAGCAATTATTCTTTCTTCCTTCTGGATTAAGCCAAATTTCAGTTTGCTATCAGAAAATAATTTTTCCCCAGGGTATCTATTCTTAACCTCTTTTGGGGGAGGGGTCCATATAGTACTTCCTCTAGGTTTTTGGTTAATTTTCTATATCAGCAAGTAATTATGTATAATAATTTTTAATAGATTTTTGAGTTAACACTACTTAGGTGACTATATCATATACTTGCTTTGTTATGCTATCGGCAAATATTTTTGCCTATGGGACCCTGTACTTAAATTTTTCCCATTGATTTATAGTAGTACTTGATTTTTTTTTAACATATTTCAATCCTTTCATAAAGACTTCCATAATTCTGTTGTAGATGGAGATGAAACTGATATTTTGGAAGAAAAATTACGGATTAAACTGCTAATTGATTTATTTCATGAATATTACATTTTATCAAAATTGTCTTCTTTCTGTATGCTTTTCACATTTGACCTCTATCATTAATCTTAATATAAAATTTTGAATTTACTGGTAGAATTGCATTTGCCTAAAATTTGCATATCTATGTAGATTAAAGATATTTTATGTAATAAAATAAAAAGAGCTTGCTATTTTAAAAGTTCATCTGGAAAGAGTTTCTCTTACTGAGGTGCATGTCAATTTTTAAAAGTAAATAAATAGGAAGTAAAAAACGTTCTGTCATGAAAACTGGATAGCTGGGTAAAAAAAGGTGTTTTCTGTTAAATACCTTCAACAGTGACAAGCGAAATGATTATAATAGCCAATAATAAACTCATCTATATTAGTAACACATTTATTATTCCATCTAAATATTTTTATTGATGAAAAACCAATCAAGAGGGGCGTAAATGAAAGGGTGTAAAGAAGACAGTGTTCTGCCCCATGAGTTTTTTGATCTATCACCTTATGAGTAGTATGGTTCAATTTTTAAAAATATATTAATTTGCTGCTGTGCAAATACACATTTTTATATAGCAAATTAACTTTTACCTTTTAAGAAGTATGACAAAATAATAAGTGAATATGAAACTCATTATTATGCATGGCTCTTTCTTACTTATCTATAAATGAAAATTTGTACTGTCCTAAATAATAGTTGAGGAACTTCTACTTGTGAAATTATTTTCCTTTGGCAAAGTGGATGGAAAAGATTTGGAAAAAAAAACACAAGTGCTGGCACAATTGACAGGAATGTTGGAAAAAATTTTTAAATGTTGGCATAGGAATTCTTTAAAAATTCTAAGTTACTCACATGTGAAATGAAAGTAAAAAAGCATCTGTCCTATTTTATGCACACTGACTAAAAAAATGAACAATTATATTTAGCAAAGTATAAAGCTCTTTAAACTAAGGTATTCTGTCTGGCTTTTGGCGATCTTTATGTTATTTGTTCCACTGAATTAAAATATTATGTTTGAGTGCAAGCATACTTTGAAAAGCAGAAATTGCAGAGAGGAGAACATTCTCTTTTCCAACTCTGATGACCCTAGATGAAATATGAAATTTTTGAGAGACTAAACACTTCTAATATACTTGAGAGAACTTTGGATCTTGGCCTCATCTGTCATTCTGCCCATTTATTAGTGAAATATTTCAAGAACCTTTGGACATGTCTTACTACAGCATCTATTGTTCTGCCCAAGTTAGAGGAGTATATAGATTAGGTCTTTTAGGAATTACAACCATGGTGGTGGTTGTTTTTTTTTTAATTTTCCACATTTTATGTTTTTAATTCTACTACCAGATGTGGTTATATTTTCATGGAAAACAAACAAGAAGCTTAGAGTAATATGAAATTCTGTTTTGATTCCTTCAGAAATTAGTTTAAAACAGTGTTTTAAGGCCAACATGACATTTTCAGATTGTTGTCTGAGATGCTTTTATTGTGTCTTGGTGCTGGAAAAAACAACTGGAGCTCTTATTCACATTTCAGTAAAGTTATTCTGTTTTGCTATATGACTATTTATTGGTAGAGTATATTGCTTTTCATGCATTAAGTTATTAAAACAAAGAGTTCAACACATGGTTTCATAATTGTGATGGAAATAGTCCACAGTGTACCTAATTTCCTCTGATCCTTTATGTTGAACAGTTCAGGCCGTGGTACTTGCCTTGATAATGAGCCTCCCAAGCGTGACTTTCTTTATCCAGCTGTGGCCCCAGGTCAGGTGTATGATGCTGACGAGCAATGCCGTTTCCAATATGGAGCAACATCCCGCCAATGTAAATATGGGGTAAGAAGTCTTAATCCTTATGTTTAGTCATTTATATGTGTTCTTTCATGACACAAATATTAAGTTAGATTTTTATTGAGTGCAGTTTACCTTTGATAACATCATTAATTTAAATATGGCCTTTGGCACACTGCTTTTTTTCTGATACCATTTGTCTAATATCTATTTCTAAATACTTGAGTAATCTCAAATTTCAAATGTCTTGTGAGGAATACAAGTAGAATTTTAATAATTTCTAATTTATTTCTTTTTTAAGTCCTGAGTTTATAATGCCAACTTTAGTTTGTCTTTTGAAATGTTATGCTCTTAAAACTACCCTGTTCCAGCCTTTTCTGGTACTCTAATAATTGGGTTTAAGGGCATTTTCACATTGGCTCGGAGCCTTTATTTTAATTTATACTTTTTAGTACTGAGTCATTTCAAGTTGCTTCATTCACTGCCCACATTCTAACACAACAACTGAGTGGGGACAAGATGACATTAACCCAAATAGAAAAACAAGGAAAATTCCTGTGGAAAAAAATGTAGGTTTCATAATTGACTCTTCGTGTCTGCCTAAAAAAGTGGGCCGTGGATTAAGCAACTTGAAATGACTCAGTACTAGAAAGTATAAATTAAAATCAAATAAATAATATTATATATATAAATAATTTAAAGTTTCATTGAGAAAGATATCAGTGTTTAGTATAGAGACATGTTCATAGTGGGTACACAGTGTAAACATGCTGAATGAAAATAGGATTTTTATTTTTTTTTATTTATTTTTTTATTTTTTAAAGATTTTATTTATTTATTTGCGAGAGAGAGAATGAGAGACAGAGAGCATGAGAGGGAGGAGGGTCAGAGGGAGAAGCAGACTCCCTGCTGAGCAGGGAGCCCGATGCGGGACTCGATCCCGGGACTCCAGGATCATGACCTGAGCCGAAGGCAGTCGCTTAACCAACTGAGCCACCCAGGCGCCCGAAAATAGGATTTTTAAATGACAAGTTGTAAGAAAAATTCAAGTTTAAAACATAAATTTAAAGGCTTGGTTTCTGTTTTTATGCAAATAGTGTTTAAAATCCCTTTTTAAAACTAATAAGAAAAAAAAAGGAATTCAGTCTTAAGATAGATAATACTAAACAGTATATACATGGTACTGTACCAGTTATTCCCCTTGGTACAGTACAAAGGAAAGTGATTTTTTAAAGTATCCCTTGGGTGACATATTATTATGCATGGTACTCTTTAGCACATTTTGTGCAACAGATTTAAAGATTGTGTGCAACTATCTAAGTATCTAAATCCTTGAGTAAAACTTTGGTCTTTCTTGTCTCTCAGACAGAGTCTTCTGTTATTATTTCTACATGATTTTAGTTTCTTTTTTTCTTGGGTTGCTTTTTCCTACAGAAAATGTTGATCAAATTTCAATCATGGTCTTTTTATATACTTGTAGCTTAGTAGGTTGAAATTCAAGATCAAATGAGATTGCAGATTTTCTGTTATTCTTATCTATGATCTCATTTCTTTATTAGGAAGTGAAATGGTTAATCTACATTTTAGTTTTTTTAATTGGAAATTGAGTTTTAATTGCATCTATGTATTTTCATATTAGATAATTTATATTATCAGTTTTGCAGGATCTACGGATGCATCTTTTCTTTCTTCAATAATTAATAAAAATTTTCACCTGATTATCCTATCTCTCTACCTGTATATCTCATTTATTTCAGACTAGTTGATCTGAAGTAAAGTAAGATACATAGTAATTGCAAAATTGTGTATTTTCAGTTTATGTTCCTTATATTTAGCTTTTTTAAGAAATTTTTTTTACTTATTTGAGAGAGAGAGAGACAGAGAGAACACAAGCAGGGGGAGGGACAGAGGAAGAAGCAGACTCCCCGCTGAGCAGGGAACCCAAGGGGGGGCTCGATCCCAGGACCCTGAGATCATGACCTGAGCCGTAGTCAGATGCTTAGCTGACTGAGGCACCCAGGTGCCCTCTTATGTCTAGCTTTTAGATTCTATTTCTTTATGTGTTGTGTTTATAAAAGCTTTTGTAATAGATATAAAATAAAATTTGGAAAACTTGGGGAGAGACATTAGCATCTTACAATCCTATACAATTTCTCATATTTTATCATTAATCTTTTCACTTTGATTTGCAGCAAAATGGTTTTCTTAGACTCAGGTACTATATGAAAATGCTTATGCTACCTTTTTATAAAGTGCCATACATTACTATCAAAGTTTCTTGAGTCAAAATAGATTATTTTTTTTCCCCCCATAATAGATTCTTTACAGTCACTCCCACCTCTCAAGCTTGTGCCTGAAAAATTGGTTTTACACAATAGATAGCACCCAAAGACACATCATGTTTTATCTGGTGAATTGCTAAGGTTTTAAATGATTCTAAATACTACTTTAGAAAACAGTAGTGGCTTTGAAAGTGGAGTCCGTTCAGGTAAACAGGTCATACTTCAGATAGTAGCTGAAGGGAAAGCAGACCAGCTATGATTATAGCTAGCTGTCAAAGTGTAGCATCTTGAGATGAACACTGAACACAAGCACTGGAGGCTTAGAAGAGCACGGTAGCCTTTTAGTGAGGGGATACTTCTGGTGTTGGAACATCAGGAAGTGATCCCTCTTTCAACGAGCACATCTGTAATGATGCCAGGGAAGATTTTAAGCAACTACAAGATGATACATTACTGCAGGAGTGATCAACTTGCCATCTCTTCCACTTTGGTTATTGTGTGGTCATTGTTGGGGTTTCCAGTGATTATATCTGCAGTTATAAAAAATCTTGCTGGAATTCTTTGTGAGTAGGCTCATCAATATACATGTCAGGTATATTGGGGAATTTACATGAAAATTTTTAATTTTCTTGTCTCTCAGGCAGAGTCTTCTGTTATTTCAGGAAGCATTTTCTACTGTTATCTTTGTATATCATCCATTTATGTTTTCCAGGTATTCCTAAATTCCAATAGAAGTAGTGAGGAGATGGTAATGGTTATAAATACAAAGAACAAAACAGTATACAGAGTAAGATAGTTGTATAATATAGTAATTTATAAATGATGTATGGTTTGTGGTATTTATGTTGCGCCTTTTTCTGAGATACTTCAGACTAACTTCGATAAAAATTGTAATTACCTATTAATATTTTATAGATGGTGAAACTAAAATACAGAATGTGATTTACCTACCCCAAGGTAAAAATAAAAATTTAAAAAGGTCTAATTTAGTTCCATTTTCTATTATGTAGTAAATATCTTAATAAAATAAACAGATATATTTTATTTCAGGAGATACATTTTATCAATGTTAATCAAATGATGTCTGTTTCTAAATATCTTCTTTTTTTTATCAGAATTTTTTTTTATTATGTTATGTTAATCACCATCTAAATATCTTCTTAAAAAACAACAACAACAACAAAAAATTTCTCTGGCTTATCCCAGTCTTTTTTGGGAGAGAGGTGGTCTGGAGAGCTTCCCTAAACTTATTTTCAGAGTTTTAAATTCTCAAGTGTGTGAGACCCTCAGTGTTGGATTTGAGTTATATATCTATTTTTCCCTATGTAAATAGTTAGGACCTCTTCAAGGCAAAGTACAAGCACAGATGAGCAACATACAAAACAAGATCCTACTAGATCATCTAAAAAATCTGCTAGCTCTATCATCAAGTTCTAAGGGTGCCTTTGATGTGTTCTGGATGAAACTGCATTGCAAATAAAAATGTCCCCCCAAAATTTTTTTTCCTATTTAGAGGAAAACTGCTCTCTATAAAGTTCTGTAGAATCTATTGTCTCACTCCTCTTCCACTTCCATTTGTCTCCTCTTTCTTTAGCAGAAAAGAATCATTAAAAGTGGATTAACAAAAACATTTTACAGTAATAATAATAAGTTTAAACTTAGGAAGAAACTCACTAATGAACCTATGTATTGTAGGGGATATGGGTGATCTTTTGCCTGCTCTCTAAAAAGCACAGATTAATTCAGGACTCAGTCTCAAACATAACTCTACATTTCTTTATCCTATCGCTATAAATCATATCCTAAACATTGTTTTCATATATACTTACTGTTTCACTGTAGGTCAACAATATCCACTACATAATTTACTGATAACTATCAATTGGTGATTGCTACCATGACACTTTTTAACAGAAACGGAAGGAAAAAAAAAACAACCCTAAAATTTACATGGAACTATTAAAGACCCTGAATAGCCAAAGTAATTTTGAGCAAGAAGACCAAAGCTGGCAGCATCATACTTTCTGATTTCAAAAGCTGACTACACAGCTCCAGTAATCAAAATAGTATGGTACTGGCATAAAAATAAGCATATAGACCAATGGAACAGAAGAGAGACTAGAAATAAAGCCATGCATAGATTATCAGTGTATCTTTGACCAGGGTGCCAACAATACACAATGGGGAAAGGATAGTCTCTTCAGTAAATGGTATTGGAAAATTGGACAGCCACAGGCAGAAGAATGAAGCTGGATCCTTATCTTATACCATACACAAAAATTAATTCAAAATGGATTAAAGACTTAAATATAAGACCCAAAACTATAAAACTCCTGGAAAAAAAAACAGGGAAAAACCTTCTTGATTTTGGCAATGATTTCTTAGATGTGACACCAAAAGTATAGGCAACAAAAGCAAAAATAGACAATTGGGACCTACATCAAACTAAAAAGCTTCTGTACAACAAAGGAGACAGTCGACAAAATGAAAAGGCAACTTATGGAATGGAAGAAAATATTTGCAAATCAGGTATCTGATAAAGGATTTATGTCCAAGATATATAAGGAAGTTGTACAACTCAATAGCAAACACACAAACAAAACAAAACAAAACAAAAAAACCCCAAATAACCCGATTAAAAAATGGGCAAAGAACTGAATAGGCATTTCTTAAAAGAAGACATACAAATGGCCAATAGGAATGTTAAAAGGTGCTCAACATCACTAATCATCAGGAAAATGCAAATTGTGACCATGATGAGCT